GATGCTGCTCAAGCTCCTGCAGAGACAGACCTATACCTGCCTGTCCCACAGGTATGGGCTCTACGTGTGTTTCGTGGGCGTCGTTGTCACCATCGTCTCCGCTTTCCAGTTCGGAGAGGTGAGTAGCGGCGACGAGCCCCGGCCCGGCGGCCGCAGCCCGCAGCACCCTGCGACGCCCCAGCCCTGTCCTCGCCGAGCCCCGGCGCGCTGCACCCGCGTCTGCCCTCCCTCGCTGCTGCGGGGGGGCCCCTGCCCTTCCCCGGGGCGCCGGGACTCAGCTCCCCTCCCCGGGTGGGTTTTAGCATCTGGGTGAGGGTCTGGTCCTTCCGATGCCTGGGGAGGGGGCGGGCAGGGGTCGTTTGGCTCCGATGCCTTCGACTGGGTCCCCAAGTCCCTTGACTTGCTCCCCCAGGCCTGGTCCTCCACCAACCCCCACCCGCGACCCACAGTCGGCGTTCCGTCGCGCCCCCGAATTCCCCCATAGCTTCGGTGCCGGTCGCTGCTACGGCTTTCTTCCTCGTTGTCACACTTTGTAATCTTGGTAATCTAGGCGTTTCTTGATCCCGTTTCTTCACGGATCTCAAAAAACGGGGCCAAGGAGCGAGTGTTTATTTACTTATTATTTTTGCGCCTGAATTTTCAGTGGCCCCACATTGATAGTACAGACGTGTCAAAGGGGATTTTGTTTTTCTTTTTTGCACTTTTGCTGTGTTGATTGGGACAACAGTCCAACCGCAGGTACCCCAGAGATTGTACGCTGACTTGCGAAGTTAGGAGTGCCAAACGCTTTTCCCCTTAGGGGATCAGCTGAGGCCGGGGCCCCTCAGCGTGATCTTGATTGGCTAACTGTCTTGGACTCCAGCTCCCCACCTCTGGGGAGCAACACTAGCCCTTGGGTCATAGGAATCGAGATCACACAGTCAGGCCTTTGTTATCAGCTCTTAGTGACTGTGCAATGAAGTTGTTCAGTTACAAGTAAAAACCTGCAGAAGGCCCAAGCAACAGGTCTGCGACGTGGAAAACATTCGGGTTTAAAAGTTTTGTGTCTCTGGGTTATTTACCTCACTTTTTGAGTGAATGTTTTTGTTTCAGATCAAATAGTTAATTCATTATCGACCTGTTGTGTGTGTGGTTGTTTAAATGGAATTGACTTGAAAATTTTCAATTGTGCATCATAACCTACATATACAGCAATAAGTTCCCTGTTAAAAGTCCAATCTGTCCTTCACACCATATATTTATCTATCTTCCTCCTCCCTTCCCTTTATCCTCTGATATCACTGAGCTTTGTCCCTTCTGACAACCCCTTTGTTTTTATATTATAAAAGTTTGTTTTCATTTTATTTAGTCATTTGCCTTCATGTACCATATGTGAGTGAAATTATAAGGTGTTTGTCTTTGTCCATCTGACTTATTTCACTAAGCATAACACCCTCTACCTCTACCCAGGTTGAGAATAACATTTAAAAATATACTGTAGCAACTGGGGGGAAAACTGTACTTTTTTTTTTT